CCACCCACCGAATCCTGGACAATGCTTTGTTCGCTCCAGCTGCAGCCGCAGTTGCTTATGGAAAATCCACAAAGCCAAGGATGACAACGGAGTCTAACCATATGCCGTTTTGTATGAAAGTCAGTGTCGGTAGCATTCTCCGATAACCTGTTGGTAGCCAGATGAGTCAGCACTGAGGTTGGACATGCGAGACTTGTCCTGGCCAAAGGCCAAAGCATCATCCCAACTACTCCCGAACAAGACGCTGCACAGATGCTTGTCATTGCTTGCCTTTCAGGAAGCAGCCGACTTCTGCATGATTAGCCCGCGCCGAGTCTGCGCCTTACGGATTTATGCGATTCCTTATCAAGATTATCACAGTAGCCATCGCAAGCAGGCGCGGTAGTAGCAGGTTGCATTTAGCATCAGACGGTCATGCCACGGGCGCACCTTTGTTTTCTGGTGTCGCACAGCTCTTTCGTGCTTGGGGCGCGTGCGCTCCTGGCACACCACGCAAGGCCATGTTCCCTTGGTCGGACACGCCGCGGCGAACGTTGCGGAGCGTGGGAACGACTCCAGCAGCTTGGCTGCGTAAGTGCTTTCCTTTCGTGCTCAAAGGTCAAAATTCGGTTAAAACCCCAGTTGCCGGGATGCTCTCCCTGAGGCCAGCCGACTACAGAAGAAGGAGGTCGGCCCAGTTGCGCAAAGCATATCCTGAAGAGACGAAGTGAGGTCCGGATTGTGGCTTCACTTGTGAGGATGGTCTTTGTCGATGCCGGCTTGTTGCACTGGTGTTACCCAAACCTACGTCACCTCCTACAATGGGAAGCTTTTCGTTCTCCGACCATTTGACCATTATATGTATTACAGCTCTCACTGCTAGCTGCTGCGGTAAGGTTCCAAGCACCGATCGCCTCAGCCCCCTGACCGTTGAACTTGGCAGCAAAATACATAAAGAAGTCCTGTGGACAGATTGGGGCCAGAAAAATCAATCATGCTATTTCTTACGGCTTCTTGAGTACATAGTGGTAGAGAAGTGAGTGAGTGTCATTCGGACTCCGACGGGCGAGCACATTTCGCCAATAAACAGGCATCGACTATTTGGGATTCACGATTGTCTACCAGGGCATGAACTTGGTCGGAGAATCGGGACGGCAACGTGGGATTTTCTTGAAGTCCAAAAAGTTTGGAAGCAGTCTTCAATATCGCGGGACCGGAAGGTTCAAATCTATTATTATAAAGCTCTTGTTGAAAGGAAGCTGATGTATTCCCTGAGCTGCTAGTGTTTATCTTCTGCGGATCGTCGGCGTCTTGATGGGTTTCAAAGCCGTTGCCCGCGAAGTAGTTTTTGGCATCCCAGCCGCTTTCATTTCGAGAGTGCCCCATACGAAAGTTCTGCGCAGAGCTTGCTACCCCGCTGCTACGGACTTGCTCTTGAAACGACAACTTCTCCTTTTCGGGAAAGTGCCGGCATGCGACCACCCCTTGCACAGCTCTGCATTTATTCGTGAAACATTGCAGCCTGCAACAAGTGTGTGAGAAGAGTGGGGAGGCCACGACCAGAATGGGTCACATTTGTTAGGGCCAAAGCATGTCAGTTCCTTGAAAGCCAGTGTGAGCTACTGTTGATGATATAAATCCTGCATTGCCTTAAAGACCCTGAACTATGGGAATTATGGTATATTCCTTATTATGGGTCATGCAGGATTTATTCCATCAGCCGTAGCCAGACTTGTGCAGAAGCCTCATGTTTGGAACCGTGCGGTGTGCCAGTTTACCCGTCCACGCGCCGCCCGGCGTATGACCGACTGACTGACTGAGAGTGATGAGTATAGAAACCCATAATAAAGGGGCATGAATCATTACCTGTACTATTTCAGGGGCTCCTTATTGTAAAGATGGTATAATATACTCCAAAGCCCTATTCTAATTATTAAGGCCCCTACATTACAGCCCATGTCCGTCAGACTGGCGCCGTGACCTCCTGTAAAGAGGAGGAGGTGAGTGAGACACTTGGTTGCATCAAAAATATATATATATATATATATATTATTTATATATATATATAGAAACCTAAAATACGTGCCTACATAAATCCTTATAGGGTTCCTTACTATACCTCTGTACCATAAAGAAGCCCAAACACCTATTCTAATGATTAAGGCCCCCTTTTCTTAGCCCAGGGTCCTCTCGGAGGGTTCCTATACCGTCTCCTTCGCTTAAAAAGCGGTTCTTATCCTACGTCTATGGGATTGTTTTTGAAGGGGTTTTTTGGGGTTCCGACGATGGAGAGGGGAGAGATGGCAACCCTAAACCCTAAACCCTAAGACCCTAAACCCTAGACCCTAAACCCTAAACCCTAAACTCTGTTCCACATGCAACGGTGCCGCTGCCATCCTCAACGCCCCGAGCTGGCAACCCAAGATGCCCAGCCCTAAACCCCCAAATCTCAGCCCCTGAAAGCGCTCGGCCAACTTGTCAGTCTTAGAAATGGGTGTCCGGCGGAGAGATTTCGGGGCGATAGAGAGCAAAGAAAGCCCTAAGCCCTAAGCCCTTTCCGTCCTTCCATTCCCTAAGGGTCCAAGTAGTCCTTATTTATGGTTTTAGGTACCAAAAAAGGCCCCAAAGTCCTTAAATAATGGGTACTTGGACCCTTAGGGATTGTCAACCTTAGCCCTTCAAAGGAGCTCTGCTTACTGCCCCATGCCACGATGCAGCTGCTTGGCCAGAAGCAAAAGACGAGCACGGCGCGGCGTAGATGTGCTCTTCAGTCCTGGGGCTTGCTGGTAGGTTTCTAATTTTGGAGACTCGCCGGCGTGGGCCGGGATGTGTTCTTTAGTAATTTAGCCATGGTCGGGATGTGAATCAGAACCGTCAACAAGGAGATTCAAAACACAAGTGCCCGAACGACCGACGTAGGCCATAGCAAAGGACCGATGCAAAAACCACTGGAGCCCCATCGCCGTGCTCCGAATCTCAAAAACAACCCTCAAACTCGGCACATACTGTACCCAGTCCCGCAACCCAGGTGTGCCTTTTCGCATAGCGATGCTGTGCCCCACCGTCATCATGCTCTGTGCATGTATCGGGGACGCCGCCTGAGACAGCCAGTGAACTCCCTTGCTTCAGGTTGCCAGGCTCCGGCCTATCACATATATTTATATAATATTCTGTAATGTACTATACCAAACTATAATATTATGTTATAATATACTGGTATAGTACAATAATAGTACAATAGTATACTCTCTAGAGAGGTTTCCCCTCGGAGCCCTTCCCAGGATGTCTGGATCTTCCGCTCTTCACTCGAAGTCATGGTTAAAACGATTACGAACTCCCGGAGTTTGGATTCATTCCTTGCTTAGCCAAGCTTTGGCCTTGGCCTGTGTCCTCCTCAACCCTGCCTGAACCCTAAACCCTAAACCCTAAAACCCCTAAACCCCTAAATCCCTAAACCCCCAAACCCTAAACCCCAAACCCCAAACCCCAAACCCTAAACTGTAATCCCTAAATAGTAGTTCAGATCCCAGCCTGAGGATTCAATGTTCGGCGGATGTCAGAACGGGTTGCGGGACCTTGAGGGATCTCTAAAGCTAAGACTTGTCTAAGTCGCCCCCTGATTCCGCCGTTGCGCATAAGTCGGTTATAAGTAGGGTTATAATTAGGGCAACTCCCTTTAGGGTACTTATAACTCTACTTATAACCGACTTACTAAGATGAGCCGGAGTTTCGGCTGGAGTTGCGGGTGAGAGGCGCCAGGAGGCTTAAGTCTCAAGGGGTCCCAGGGGGGGCAAACGGGATAGCTTCAGAATCCTGCTTAAAAAAAACAGTTTGGTGGCAGCTGTGGTTGGCATTGGGCTTTAGATTCGAGCCCTCGCCCGAGGCAGAGGGATGACAGCTGAAGCATCTCGCTGTGCTGAGGTCTTTGTTCCCCTGGCGCTCTTTTCGTTGGAGGCACAGCAGGCCCGGAATTGAGCGGGAGCTCCAAATTAGGCGACGAGCGCCCAACTTCTTTGACTTACGACGAAGAAAGGGGGAGCCCTAAACCCTAAACCCTATACTCGAGTCCCTACTGAGAACATCTTGCGGTTTTCGTGGCTTACGCGCGGATCGGAGCGGTGCGCTGCTTTTCAAAACAAGCACATGAGTCCTGTTCAGCCCCGAAAGCTCTAAACCCGAAACCCTCAACCCAAAACCCCCAAACCCGCCCGAAAAGCCCCTTAAACTCCTAAACCCCAACCCTAAAACCCTAAACCCTAAACTCCTAGACCCCCCCGCCCCCCAAAACGCCCTGAAGCCTCGGAACTCTGAGCCGCTGTGCGGCATTTTTGCCAGGCAGTCTTTGCATCCTACACGCACTCTGTTCAGACTCAGAAGGAGCTCATCAATAGCATCGCCCGGGCCCCAGAAGAGTGTTTGAATAGTAGGGGTTTAGGGGTTTTGGAGTTTAGGGGGTCAGAGGATGTTAGAAGTTAGGGTTTTGGGCTTTAGGGTGTTGAGGGCTTGGGGCAGTTTGACCAAGTTGTGGACTTATCTTGCAGTCCTGCTGGCAATGCTACAAGCAGGTCTCTCAACATGAATAGATGGGCCATAAATGACGATTAGGGGTAGTAGTAGTACTGCTAATCATTCCGCCCCTATATTGGTAACTCAAAATCATGGCCCCTATAGGGAACCTCTCATCCTATACTTCGGGAACCCCAAAATACCCTAATTTAGAGAGCTACCCAAATTGGTTTGTTCTACTATACTGGACTATAACATGTTATGTTATACTGTAACATGCTAGAAAGTACGATCATGTGGCCCTATATTGGTTTCTTCCAAGCGTAACTGCTGCGAAGGGTTCACTGGAAACTGCACTTCTCACGCCCGCTTCCGCTGCTTCGAGCACAGATGGGTGTGATGGTTGGGCTATAAGGCTATGGGGTCCAAACTGATATGCTAGAATGGTGCTAGAGGCCGATACCAGATGTTAGCGGGTGCAGTTTGGCAGCTCGCCGCCTTAGCCGATTGAAGCGATGGGCTGGGCTGCCGATATTGCGGACTATGGTTATGAGCACGGCATCACAGACTTTATGGAAGCATGGCACAAGTACATGGATCCTGGTCCAGATTGGGATCCCGACAATCCAGAATGGCAGGCCAGACAACGTCAGCAGCAACGTCAGGAGCAGGCTGAACGAGATGCTCGAGATCGCAGTCGCAGCAGGGAGCGTCGAAGAGCGCAGGCCCGTTCTGATAAGATCGCTGCAGTCGTGAGAACTTGCATCGCGAAAGGTCAAACCCGGAAGGACTTGTTTGCAGCTTGTGAGATTGTGGGCGTCGACGATCCCCTGGCTGTCGCTGAATCCGGCGAAGAAATAGTTCAGAGAATCTACGACCGCCTGGATGACGAGGCTAGGAGGCAGTCTACGACGAGTTCCGAACTGATTAAGCAGAAGCTGGCAGAAGTTTGAGTATTCCCCTTAAGAGTCGAGGGAAAAATCAGAGCTGCACCTGCCCGGCGGAGATGGCATGGTGAGATAAAAAGAAAGGGGTCGGAAGAGTTACCATGATTCTTCCGGAGGGGCTCCCTAAACCCTACCCCAGGCTCCTTATTATGATCACAGCACAGTGGGTCCCAAAAACCCCATTCTGGCTACCTAGGCACCCTTTCTGAGGACCAGGGCAGCACAAGACAGCATTTTGTTCCATGTGTTCGCTTGCAGCGAAAACCGTAGTTTGGAGTTTCATATGGGGCTCGGAGTAGGGGTTTGTAGTTTAATGGTTGAGGCATGCAGGGCCTCAACCCTACAATCGCGAAGTATCGCGAATCTATACTTCAGATTTGTCTCAGAGCATGTTTCAATGGGGGATGTCCGCAAGGTCCATGCGGCCTTGCCTGCGCTGAAACATACCACGATCCTTGACAGTTCTGACAGATTATCGACCATAATCGTGACTAGTTTATCATCATCCACTACCATGTATTGTGTACTGTATTATACGACCAAAAACAACAATGTACCACAACATATTACACCAAGAATATACATGCATGACAGACAGTACTTGTTCGGCCAGAGGTGTTGAATGCCACTCAGTGGGTACTGCTGGAGGCACGGACACTTGGGGCAGCTCAGGGCTGCTGCTCCGTTCGGTAACTTGTTGCATTGGGGTTTAGGGTTGAGGTTTAGGGTTTAGGGTTCAGGTTCGGGGTTTAGGCTTCACAGGGAGCAGGTTGTTGATTCGGGTTTTGCGGGTCTATGGTATCTTGTCCCCAGGCATCAATTTAGAATCGCATCGGGTCTGCTCAATTGCACAGAAAACTGTCGATCCTTGGGCGGGTTGATACGGTTGATGGTATAAATCCTGCATTACCCATAGTAAGGAATATACGATAATTCCCATAGTTGGGTTCTTAAGGTAATGTAGGATTTATATCATCAACCGTAGTTTGTAGCAGGCCAAGTCCTGCCTTGTGAGGAATCCACAGGCTTCTGCAGTTTGCTCGGGTTTTCTTGATCGTTTGATCGGTTCGGGCACATAAAACAGACCCTAATCCCTAACCCCTAAAAGCCTTTAAGCCCTAAGCTGTTCTTTGGATTCAGTACCGTTTCTTGAATCCTGCAGCGGTGGAGACAGTCATTTATAGCTTATAAACTCGTTTGCAGCATACTAACCTGAAGAAAGCTTGAACAATTGGGGCTGCCAACGTATGCCAAATGCCTGCGCAAGTCTGACATCCTCTTAAAATTTTACCCCAACCCAGTGTCTGTATCCTTACAACCATTGACCCTGAAACCTAAACTGACCTAAACCCCTTGGTAGGCTTCGAAGTCCGTGGAGAAAGCGGTTTTCGTGGGAATCGTTGAGCCGCCGGACTGCCACAGACTGCAAACAAGTACCATACGGTTGATGGTATAAATCCTGCATTACCCATAATAAGGAATATACCATAATTCCCGTAGTTTAGGGTCCTCAGGGTAATGCAGGATTTATATCATCAACAGTAGGTGGAGCATGGGAACTGGGAAGGTTTCGGCCTGTTTTGGGCCCGGGGACTCGGCAGCTAGATTCTTTTTGGGAGCAAGGGCGCTGATGTCTTGAGCATGGACCCCGAAAGCATGTCCGCGAGCTGACATTTTTTCTCGAACTACCGAGGTAGTTTACCCATAGGCCCCCAAGTAGTTTGGGTTTTTGGGATTACCTTATAGGATTCTAAGTATAAACCACAGAAAGGAACTACTTAGGCGTCTATGGGTACAAGCTAGTTCTCTTTGGAACTTGACAGCCGGCTCTTGGAATTGGTGGGCAGGGCCTCTTTGAGACCAATTCCCATAGGTGCCCTCGACCCGCACCGACCTTCTGAGAGGACAGAGCCGTCGACACGCTCTCGGGAGCAATCCGGATGGCTCGCATCAGAGGTGGTTGCAACTTTTCTGAGGCCGAGCCGTCCTCATCAGATGAAGACAGTGACGCTGTCACGACTTGCCTTTCAGCCGACTTCCTCGAACTTGAGACACCTAATTAAGATGCACCCTAATCTACCATTACTCTAATCGAATGAAAATATCATCAGAAGATCTGTAATATATACTGCAATCTGGTGCCCCTTCCACGAGGCCGAGCAGCGTCATGCTATCGCGCAGCGTGCTTTGGAGGACATTCTTTTCCGTTTTAAGGCCATAGGCCACTAGAGTAAAAAGGCTCGAAGGTTCTTTCAAATTAGGTGGGTCGGCGACCTGGGAAGACAACCCCTCGTTCAACGGGATGTTGCAGCAAAACAAGAAGTGGAGCATTGTTTGAACTCGGCCTGCAGAGGTTTGATCCGGGGCTCCTGAGTCTCCACTGTTAGTTCGTGGAAGCACTGCCAGGAACTGAACAACCAGTGGACTTGCCATCAGCTGCTTCCTGGTTGCACGACGGCCAAAATTGAGGAGCCCTGGGCCCTAAGGAATATAGGAGTTTTCGAAAATTGGGGTACCTTATTTTGGGGTCCTTATTATAAGGATCCTACTATTTAAGGTACTATATTGGGGTCCCCTATTTTCGGAAACCCCCATATAGTCTTTGGTAAATGGTAGAGGCTTCTCTGCCAGTTGAAGCTGCGTTGTCGAAGTGCGTATTCCTGGGTTGTAGCAGTGCATCTTCTCCCATTTCTGAGCAGCTGTAAACCCTTGGCGGAGAGCCGACGGCTCGAAGCCGAAGCCTCTTTCCCCAAAGTCAGGGTCTACTCATCTACTCGGATGTCGCCCTCCAATCTGGTAAGCTCCCCACTTCTGCAATGTAGAAGCAGGCTATAATGAAATCAAATCAAAACAGGCGCAAGCTTTCTGCAGGTATCGACTCGCAAGGGTCTTTCGCCCCACCACAGAGACCTTCGGGAAGTCACGGGTCTTCACTGGTTCAGGCTGATCCAGGATCTCCTCTTTAAATCGTGATGGGGGTTTCCGAAAATAGGGGACCCTAATATAGTACCCTGAATAGTAGGATCCTTATTATTAAGGACCCCAAAATAAGGTACCCCGATTTTCGGAAAGTCCCGAATCGCACTACTCCCTGGGGTTCCTCGCGCATTTTCTCTCGGTCTGATGCTCTGGCATTAGGGGATCCATTGCAATGTTGGTTGCCTTTAACAACCTCCACCCTAAACCCTTAAACCCCCAACCCACATAGAACCCTAGTAGAACCCTAACAGAACCCTTCAAGCACCTAAGCCTAAACCCCCAAGAAACCCCCTAAACTCGAAAGCCCCAAGGAACAACAACCTTTGTTCGGGCCGGTCATTGAGCCTTTACGCCGCCATGGCGCGACACCCAGACCCACAGGGTTGTCGTGGTGGGTCGGATGGGTCTTTACAGGGTTTTCCAGGGCAAGTAATTTGGGACCCTTTACCGCAATTTGAGGGTACTTGGAGGGTCGGGGGCTTGCGCATGGGGCTCGAAATCGGGTGTCGGCTTGGGGTGGAGTGAAGGAGTTGGGACATTAAGGGGCAAGGCTGGGAAGGATGGGCTGCAACGGGAGTTCCAGCACAGAGTGCCTCCCGCTAGGGCCGGTTTAGACAATACGGGCCTGCAGCATTGCTCATACTAAACTATTCCTGAGGGTTCCTCGATGTAAGTATACCGTCAGTATGCCACAGTACCCTCTTGCCGAGTAGTAGAGTGAAAGACGAATGTTGCGAGGACACCGGCGAAGTCTCGGGTGCAGCCTTCCGCCCTCGCTTCTGGGGAACGTCGCTCGCACAGGCGCGGAACTGGAAGCGCTGTAGATCTGCTTGTTCCATGGGTCTGGAGTAGGTTTCGCAAGTTCGACGTAACACTGTTCAGGGATCCTTGTAATTGGGATCCTGCTACTCAGGGTCTATATTTGGCCCAACTTTATTTCATCATCCCAGAGTCGCAAAGAATTTGTTCATTACCAGTCTTCAGTCCACACGCTGCGGTGTGCTGGCTGAAGCCCCACATCGTAAGTTCGTGAACGCCATGGAACAGATGGACACCCAAGAAGCCGTCATTTCACCTGAGTAGTGTTGGATCCCGATGAAAATGCAGATACAAAGGCCCCAGTGTGATGTTCCGGGGTCCGACCGTAGACCGAGAAGCACATCCGAACCTCTGGCCTCGCACCAGGAAGCGCCGTTCCTTGCAGATGCGCCAGTCGGTAGTCCCACCAACCTCTCCGTTTTCGAGGTGGCCGGGTATATGCCCGGGCTGACATGCCATAGACCCCCCTAAACCCCTAAACCCTAAACCCAAGATTTTGGCTGCGAGGCCGTAGGTTTTTCCCAGCGGATTTGCAACACGGGCACGCAGCTGCATGGGTTGAGATGCAAGTCTGTCGAACCCTAAACCCTAAACCCCAAACTCCTAAACCCTACTTGGAGGTTCATGGGTAGTTATCAGGGGGGTTATAAGTCCCCTAATTTGGATTATGACTATAGTTACCCTACTTATAACCCCACTTATAACTACCCATGAAGGCCCATGATCCTCCAAGTATGCTGCTGACCTTCCGAACCTTCTTTGATGTGCAGGCCAGCGGGCTGATTGGAGATCGCGGCGCAGTGTATTTGACCAGGTGCGGCCCCCAGGGTTGTGAGCGCCAACCATAGGCTCCAAACCCAGCCCTACACGAGATTAGGTCCGATCTAACTCTAAGTTCGGCTTCCCAGTACTTTCGGCTTCCCAGGACCGCCTAGGCTCCTAAACTTTCCGAAAACCCCTGCACCCAGAACCGCAAGGAACGATGCAAAGCCTTAGCCTCCTGTTCCTGAGCCTTAAACCCCGTAACCCTAAAGCCAGCTACTTGTACCCATATCCTCAACTCCTGCGCCAGATGTTACGGTTTACAAAAAAAAAAGAATCCCGACTCCCAAACCCTAATTTCATTTTGTTTGACGCTTGAAGCCTTAAACCTCCACCCCTAACCCGTACTTCCCTGAACCCTAACCCCTAGCTCTTAAACTCTGAAC